TGCTTATGACTGTGTTACGTGCGTAGAAAGCGCTCCAGAAAGAAAGTAATTCGTGTAGGATACACCAGTTAAAATAGTATTGCAAAACAGCACGCAAATACGTCAGTGAGAAATGTGACATAGTGAAAGGAGCACATTTTGTTTAGCAATAAGGCCCTTTTGAAATTTCACATCATGGTGTTCTGCTTAAAACTTAAATAAGTGTAAAGGTAAAATGGTACAAAGATAGCTACTACTTCTTCTCTAATTTGTAAAAGCAATTCTTAAAAATATAAACAGGTAAAAAGAGAATATTCTTACCTACCTTCTTTCAAAAGGAACGGTTGTTCTTAATATTCTTATTTAAAAGAAATCACTTAATTTCACATGAAGAGGCTATTTGAATTTTTGTGTAAACTATATTTAAACAAATTTGTAAGTTGAATTGGTTGGATCCTAATATAGCCCACCCCCGGCATTTGTGCTTCTTTTGTCGCCAAGTTGATTTTCCATTCCTGCTCCTTCAGACAAGACACCATGTTTTTTCCCTTCTGCCTGGACGCGACTTTGAAAAACGCGCATTGACGCCATTTTGGCCCGACTTGAAAAAAATCTTCGCCAAGGGGTGGGCTATAATAGGAATTTACCATAAGAATTAAAATTATTTATACAACTTTAAATATGATTCATTACATGTAAGAATTCAGCGCGCTCTAAAAAAGAAAATACACGTCTGCTGTCTGTCAGTTCTGGGAACAAACTCATAGCTCCCCGGATGGCACTGGTGTGGTTGAGGCTCCCATAGATTTTAGGTTTCCAACAATAACGAATAACTTCAATAATTCACATTATCACATATTTATTTACATTTTTAATTAGTATGTTTTATTGACGGAGCTTTTATTTCGGTTGTGATTGTTTACTAGTATCGTGTTGGGAAAAACAACGGAACTCTTAGTCTATTGGTGACGGAACTTGTAATTTTGAGTCACAGTCCAGTAACGACGCAAACATTTAAAGTATCCGACTACTTGCGACAACTTTTTTTTGAAAAAAATGGAGAAATGGAGATTTTTTTGTGATTTTTCGATTTATTTAGTATATTTTAAGGAAAAAATCGTAAAATTGAAAATCGAAAAAAAATTTATTCTTATTAAAAGGGAAAAAACTGGTTTAAAAGGTACAAACAATTACCTAAACGGGGCCCGCTCTGCACAAAAATATTTTGAACAAATTCTCAATTTTTCAATTTTAATGTGTTACTTTGTTATTCATGTTTGAAATGACCTTCAGGATAATAGATAGTCTATTTTTTTCCAAAAACTAGAGTACTCTATCTTAGTGACCATATGGAATTGCTTAAAAAAACAGTGATTATATTAACATAAAGGACTGTAATTTTTGAAATAAAACAGCGATTGATAAATCTGAAGGTCAAAACACTTCTACTGTTATACAAAACTTACACAAAAAATTTCAGCGAATTATTTTTAAAACTTTTTGAGCAATCACTCTGTCCCCGTTTGAGTTCTTCGAAAAAATCACATTTCGAGTAAAACGCATTTTAAAGTTTGACATCTAGTCTAAAGTTATGGCATTTTCTTTTGTTAAAACACTTGCAGTTCTTGTTCCAATGAATGGAAAATAAAAAGTTTAGTATTTCTTTATTAAGCTAAAAAGATGGCCTATAAATTAAAATCGTAAAAAAACTGTCAATTTTTGAAAAAATCATGATTTTAGGGTAGTTGAATACTTTAAGCTGGCATCTCATTCCCCTAACTAAGACGCCACTCCAAAAGGTTTATTACTTTTTATATTCCCTTCTTACATGGTGAATCTTCAGAAGCATCAAGACTCGAACCCATAGTTTGAGAAAAACTGCTCCGACCACGAATTCGCGACAATGATTACTTGGCTACTGCTTCCACACTTCTGTTTGAAATTTTTAGTGAAGTTTATAAGTTGGACGAGATAAGGAGTCCCATATTACTTTGGATAAGAAGCAACCAGAAACCGCAGAAGTGTTAATGTGTTATTTTTCTTGATCAAAATATCAAAAATAATAATTCCCGTTTGGGAGTTTACTGAACCGAATCCTTTTATTTAAGTAATATACCACTTCCACGCACCTGGATGGTGCACTACAAGCATAAAGTTAGGACCTCCTAAGTTAATGTCATTGTTAAATCACAATAAACTTCAGAACCGAAACTTATCGTTTTGCTAATATGCACTAGCATTTCGTAGTATATATATACATTAACACATGTAATCCTCTTTCAAATCCTATATTCGCTGTGTATTACAGTTCTGAATAAATAATGCATATTTGCAGATGACAGGGCTATTGCAATAGGCGAGGTTATCATATTGAACAAATTCATAAAGTACTCACTTGGGTCAGTTAAGGGTGACGCGCGTAATAGCCCCCTGCAAACTTGTGACAAATCTATACGGAACTTTATCACTAACCTTCTGAGTCGTCCTTTTTAGGGAAATTTAATTCCCTACCTATTTCCAATCAACTCCAAAAAGCGGACAGGATTCCTTGTTATATGCAGATTAGATAAAGTATTTAAGTCAAACGGAATAGTAAAGTTAGAGCAGTAGGAGATAGAAGCAGAAAGTTATAGTGAAATTAAATTGAAGATTTCTTGTTGGAAGATTTAATATCAGATAAAAGCTGAGCTGAGCTGAGCTGAATTGCAGTGAGGTAAATATTAGTCTTATTATTGCGAATGAAATTAAAATTAAATGTTCAATAAGAACATAGAATACAATTCTGGGATCTCTTATTGTGGTAATATCTGCGTGATCGTTATTCAATTGTTAATTAATTAGATCATTAATTAATTAAGTTAATTTATAGGATATTACCGTTAAAACCTCATAATACTAGTTAGATATATTTGTTAATAAGTCTTTGATTCTATTTGGATAAGATAACCAAATAAAGAAAGTTGTTTATAAAAATGGCTTCTGGTTCTTATATGACTCCTATTTATTCTCGTTCTCAAAGTGAGGTCCAAGGAGACCTTCACAAACTGAGCCAAAATAATTTTAAATTCATATTAAAGGTATTGATGAAAGTTCTTCTGAAGTTGAATCATGTCCAATTGTCTATTTCTATATCTAAGATGACACTTAACTTTTCCAATATTTACACATTGTCTGGGGAGGACTTCATTGTTAAATTTAAAGTATTATTTTACCCTTCCTTATAATACACAAACACATGTTACTCCAATGATTAGGTTTTATACTAACTGAGCAACTTTGGCTTAAAGTAACTTATGATATCCAGAAGACGGTGTAAAATATCCATCGCTAAACTAAAAATACTTGTATCATTTAGAACTTCGCAAATTTAAGCACACAATTCTTTTTATTTTAAAATTTAAAATGATATATCTACTATAAACTATATTTATTTACTTGTTAATCCTTTATCTAACAACGGTACTTATAAGTACCACACAATTTAAAATTGCATCGAATAATCATTTTTAAGAATACTTTGACGATACTTATATATATATATAGCAGGGGAATATTCTTTTAAATCCACTCTTCCGAGATACATGGCAGCACGAGTTCTAGGATGAGTATTTTAGCGGGAAAAGCGAATAGTTTCATAACAGAAATAGCGTTTTTTCAGCGTACATTTTGATAGAATTGCGAAGATTTTTATTTTTGTTCTGAAAAGGTACTTAATGCTAAAAGGTGTATTTTGTGTGTGTGTATTAATGAAGATCTGAGAAAACGATTTAACTTTTTATTTTAAGTGAACAGTACATATAATTAATTTTACAGTTAAATAACTTTGCGGGACTTATAATTAACGACAGTACATTGGAAATGTTTGAAGAAGTTTTTTTCGCCCCAGTGGCTTTTTTTGTTTTTTGTTGTGTTGTAGTCATTATTATATTAAAATAGACTTATTTTTTTATTTTTGGCATTTATTTTTAGCTGAACGAGTTTATTTTGCATTTTCATTGTTTTATTTTAACGTTTTCAAAAAATTTTAAACTTTTTTTTTTTTAATCTGATTTTTTTTTATGGCCCACAGTTAGATGAAATACATCTCTATTCTTATTTCATATATTAACAACATTTTAATTTCTTTATGTGTCACTGAGATTTGACAATAATAAAAGATTCTATTATTACTGTTATTCCTTTTCTTAGAATATCTGGAAAAAAGAAACTCGGTCTTCTAGTGGCGTTGGATTTATTACAGATTGATTGATTGATTGATTTAATATTAACGTACAGAACGAGGGCTTTCGGCGACGGACCACGTAATTTTGAACCATGGTCAGTGATGGACGTGAGCCGGCACCCCCTCTCCTAACTACCACACCACACCAACGGGAGGACGAGCTTTTTCGTGCATGCCCTACACGGCGGGAACTGGGATCAAACTCGTGACCACAGCAATCCGATAATCTGTCTAGAATTTTTTAGATTGATTAAGGTGATTTTTCGGATGAAGTCACAGCAAATAATCTGTTAGAATTTTTTTAGATTCTTAAGATGACGATTAAGAGACCGCATAAGACTGAAGGTGCAGTCATACACTTTTTTCCCAGGATACAGTACTTTAAAATCATTTAAACAAAATCTCACTCAAAATGCATAACATGTAATAAATTTTTGTGTATTAATGAAAAGAGAATCTGTTTCTTTAAATATCATTAAATTAAGTTTATGTTTAAAACCTGCTTTTAATATATATAAAAACATTAAGACAATTCCTACTGAGGATAAACAAGAATATTTTATTTTAGTTACTTTTTATTATAAATAGTTATAATTAATATAAATATGCATATACATAGGACAGAATCATAATATTCAGTGTCAAAATTGAAAGCGATTTTCAGTACAATTTTCCATTTTCTTTTTTATATAGAGTGTTGGACTATTTTATTTTGTTTGCTACCATTTATTCAGTAATTAAATTTAATTATTTCAATAAAATAGTACAGTACAATAAATCACATTCTCAGAAATTTGGCCATCTCAGGTGGGTTTTCAACTCACGACCTTTGAATTCACGCTATCCATTAGTCCAAAGCGCTATCCATTGTGCCGCAGAGACATTGCGAACGATTTTTCTTTCTATAAATGCTGTTCGACTAATATTTTGTTTGTTACTATTTATACATTTTTCAGTTTTAATTAATAAAATAATATTTGGACAAATGTATTAACATTAAGTGTCACCCACTACAAGTTTAAAAAAATTATTTAAACTTAAATGGATAATAGAAAGTATTTTATAAATGATTGAAAATATGAACAAAATTATATATATATATATATATATATATATATATATATATATTTAAATATATAAAAACAATCACAATTATCAATTGAAAAATTGAAATATATGAACCCTATAATACCAAAACACTTCAGAATATCAATGGCGAATATAAAAGATAATATTCCATCGTTTTCAAACAAAATTAAAAAATTATAAAATAAAAATTTATAAAATATCCAAGTGCAATCTCGGACTTAGGACCAAAAAGTGGGGTTAAACTAGTTTGATGGCGCCAACCTTCCTCCTATTGCAACTTGGTAAATTAATTGGAAAATATCCAAATTTCAATTTTTTTTAAAATTAAAAATTAAAAAGTTAAAATTAAACCATTATGCTTTAAATTAAAAAGTTAAAATTAAATCATTATACTTGAAAAATAAAACTATTCGCCATCGCATTCTGAAAGATATTACTATATTAAAATTTAAAAACAATTTAGTGCATAATATAAGTGAACCATCAAACGCCCAAGATGATGCACCCATCTTTAAAATAGTTGTATAGGTAGAAAAAATATTTGGAGATCCGAAAGTTCAAATCAAAAAAATATTTGAGATCCGAAAGTTCAAATTAAAAAATATCTAAAATCAAAAATTTCAAACTAAAAAATCCGAAAGTTCAAACTAAAAAAATCTGAAAGTTCAAGCTAAAAAATCTGAAAGTTCAAGTAAAAAAATCCGAAAGTTCAAACTAAAAATTTCTAAAAACCGAATGTTCACATTAAAAACACAGTATATACACAAATTAATAGAGTAAATCATTAAAAACTCACCAAAGAGTATCCCATCAAGAATACGATCCATTTCTTATAGCACGACTTTTCATATTTAATATATCAATTAACACTTCATATTTTGCTCATAACATCTAACCAATGCCATGCCAATCCAAACGATTCTTGATCCAACACTAGAGTTTGACCACTTGGCATTAGATGCAAACCAGACCACATGTAAAAAACTTGCTTGATTGATTGGTCATAAATGTGTGATTGGACATTTATATATATATATATATATATATATATATATATATATATATATATATATATATATATATATAAATGTTTAATTGGTAATAAATAATTTTAAAGTGTAGTCGTGTAAATATTGTTCTAAGTGTGTGTGTGTATTAAAATGTATATTAAAATGTATCCTGTGTGTGTGTATTAAAATGTATATTAAAATGTATCCTGTGTGTGTGGAATGCACAAATTCTTCACAGCTGGACCACTAACAAGCTGACTTTGTGGACCTAATGTTGTGTGGTGGATTTGTGCATTTACGAGTTTAAAAATATTTTTAAGAAATATTTCTGATCTATATATTTCTCAGGAAGTTGATGGGATAATCATTTTGTATGCTACATAATATAAAAAAATTTCTGGATATTTTTGAATTTATATCAATATTGTGTGCGTAGTTAAATTATTATTTCTCATCAGAAAATTTAAAATTATATTTCTAAATACTGATATATGTAGACAACTATTGAAGTTTGGTATCTTTATGACATTGAATTTAAATGCTTCCCTTTTATCATATATATTGCTATATAATTTGTTGTCAATAATAGTTAAATCAAAATCTAAAAATTCAACTTTGAGTTAAAATTCGTCTGTATTAATTTTAGGTATTCCGGATAAAAATAAATGTTAGGTTTAAATTCCCTATCATGACCTATAACAATTAAGTCATCTATGTATCTTAATAAGAGGCAAGAGGGTTCCTTTCATTGAATTGATTCATAATGGTGTAAATACAGGTTAGCGAGACTATTACTGGCTGGGCCACCCTGAGGCAATCCTTTGATTTGTTTATAAAGTTTGTTCTCAAAAATAATGAAGTTCTCCTGTATTACAAAACGAATAAGTGTATTGAACTTTTCAAAACTAATGTAATTATTCAAATCATATTCCTCATATGCATCTGAAAGTACCCGAATTATATCTTCTTTTTTAATGGAGTTAAATAAATTATCGAAATTGAACCCATTCACAGAAAATACCTCTTGTTGATCAACTTTCTTTATTACATCATGGCTGTTTTTTATAATAGAAGTATCCTTAAATTTGTCTATTGTATCTTGTAATATGGTCTGTAAAATTCTTCCCGATTTTGATATATAAGTATTGAACCCATTTGTTACACTGCGGAATTTGATTGGATTCTTATGAAATTTAGGAGTCAAAAATATATGGGGATATATAATTTTATTGCTAGAAATATTTAATTGTTTACCAAACGCCAATAATCTGTTGTTAATTTCTTTCATACTAAATTTACTTACATCATATGCACTATTATTTTGTATATGATCATTTATTAATTTACTATAATAATATTTACACATAATTGCATAATTTCCTGGGACTTTATCTACATAAACAATCACAAAGTGTTTTTGTAAGTTTTCTATTGGTCCCTTAATTTTTTTATAACAATCTTCATTTTTTGTTCTAAAATTAAAATTCATTAAGTCCTTGAGGACATGAAAACCATATTCTTTAAAAGCCTGAGTAGTTAAATTATATTTAATTGCAAAATTGAGAATAAATTTATTAATATCTTCTGATAGTTGTTTTCTCACATTTAAATTGCTGTTTGAAATAGTCAATCGATAACCAGAACCTTTGCTCATAATTTCTCTTAATTTCTGATCCTGTACTATTTCTAAATTGCCAGATATTACGTGCCCATGATATTTGTCTACGTAATTCTTGTATTCATTGCAACCACATTCTTTTTTATCTACCAATTCCTTAATACTATTATAGTTAAAAATTGATCTACCAATTTTTTTTATTATACTTGAACGCTCGTTTTATTAACACATTTTTCATCGGGAATAAATCCATGTGTTTCCCAAATATTTCAGAAAACTGTATCCCATTATATGATTTATTCATGTATAGCAAAAAGTACAATATTCTACATTATAAACCTCCTTAGAGTCTATTTTTATTTTTAATCTATTTGTAATATATTTGCATAAATCCATTACCAAGTGTGATCCATGATTATCTTTTAATCTAATACTTTTTAATAAATTTAAAACTATTTTTATTTCCTGTTTATTAAGTCCAAATAAAAAATATTTTATTTTTCCAACACTAAAACTATTCTCAGTCTTGGAATAAATTATTTACTTCTTTTTTAACTGTATCTATATCTCTATTTTCTCTCTTTTTGCGTCCACCCTTACCAACCCTTTTTCTCTTATTACTATTATTTCTACTATTATAAATATATTCTTTATCATTTTGTTTCAATGCCCCTGTATTAAATTTTTATTATTCCATATTACATTCAATCCGTAAGGATACATAGCATTATAAATACCGATGTAAACGTTTTCATACCATAGTCTATTTATCTTATTTCGAACAATTTTAATAATATTTAACGCAACACCTTCAAAACCATGTTAATTAAAATGTTGTATTTCTATTCTTCCTATATTTTTTGTTGATATATTTTTTCCAATGTCGGATCTATGTTGGTTGATTCTCAGGTTCATAGCTCCTGATGTGTGTGTTTGACCTATATATTTAAAGCCGCAGACACCACATGTCAACATATATATGCAGTTGAATGTTTTACAGAACTTAAATTCTGATTCTTCATTATTCTGTTCACGTTGCATCATGGGGCAGGTTTTGCATCTTTTATCTCCACATTTTCTAAATCTCAATTTTAAATTATCTGAATCACTATGATACTTATTATCAAATGTTTCGTCATATTTAAAATAATTACATTTCGATTCATAATTCCTCCACTTCGATACATCATAGTAATTTCCTACAAATCCAGTATTCCAAATAATACGCGTTTTATATCTCTTATTGTTTTCATTATCATGTATTCCTAACTTCGTAAATTTCTCATTAACCAACGAACAAGAAGCTAACGTTTTTTTTTTTTATTTTTTATTTTATTTATAATTTTTTTGCATGCTGTCTCATATTGTCTGCGCCCTCTATATTCCTCCAAATCACTCTTATGTAACTGTCTCATTTTATCATATTCCATCATAACCACAAAAAAAAAATAATATCATTCTCTCTCTAATGGTAATTGATTGACGATAGCACAAACACCATCATATTGTACCACCGAGCAATGACAATCAAAATTGAAAGCCAAGTTGCCAGTCTTTAAAAATATACAAATCTTTAATATCATTATGTTTGAGTTAATATATATATATAAATTCCATTAAAATTACTTTATATTCTCCTCATCCACACACTCAGAACTAAACTCTTAAGTCACAAAATAATTCATACACCATGAGATTAACATATGAATATTCATGTCAAACACATGAATCAAAATAAATGCTAAATCGATCTTCGTGAAACCCTCAACTGCACATGACTCAGAGACAGCATATATTTTTATATATATGTATATAAGAAAATAAGCATTGAAATACCATTAAAATGTATTTTAAAAATGAACATTGAAAAACCAAACAACATAATAAAAAATTCAAAAAACACAATAGTTAAAAAGAAATCAAATGTAAACAAAATATATTATCAATAGCTAAAATTCTGATTCTATTAAGAAATCAAAATCAACTATATATTTTTGGTCTTAAAATTTATATTCGAATCATTAAGATATTCTATACCAGTGAATTCATACACATGTAGGCGCAAAGCAGCCCAACATATGAATGAAAAATATTTAAATTTATAAAAACAATCACAATTATCAATTGAAAAATTGAAATATATGAATCCTATAATACCAAAACACTTCAGAATATCAATGGCGAATATAAAAGATAATATTCCATCGGTTTCAAACAAAATTAAAAAATTATAAAATAAAAAAAAATGTATAAAATATCCAAGTGCAATCTCGGACTTAGGACCGAAAAGTGGGGTTAAACTAGTTTGATGGCGCCAACCTTCCCCCTATTGCAACTTGGTAAATTAATTGGAAAATATCCAAATTTCAACTTTTTTTTAAATTAAAAATTAAAAAGTTAAACCATTATGCTTTAAATTAAAAAGTTAACATTAAATCATTATACTTGAAAAATAAAAATATTCGCCATCGCATTCTGAAAGATATTACTATATTAAAATTTAAAAAATAATTTAGTGCATAATATAAGTGAGCCATCAAACGCCCAAGATGATGCACCCATCTTTAAAATAGTTGTATAGGTAGAAAAAATAAATATTTGTGTGAGATCCGAAAGTTCAAACTAAAAAATCCGAAAGTTCAAGCTAAAATATATATATATATATATATACAGAGAGAGAGTGAACTAATAGTAAAAATTGATAAAGTAAACAAATTTTTATACAAATAAATATTTTATTCTTTAAAATATTAGTATTCTCTGATTATTTCGCATTTTTAATGGTTAAAACTGCGTTAAAAATGCCATTCGGTCTTTTTGTATATTGAGAATATTTTAGACTTTTTGTAGACTGAAGGTACTTTAAAATACGAATTCAATTAGTTATCCCTAATGGATTAAATTTCCCAAAATTGAGTACTTTATTTGTTTATCCCTTAATTTTCTATGCAGGGATTAAAAAAAGTTGAAAAGTCACATGAAAAAAAGTTGCAGTATATCATAATGTGGTAGATAAAGGGTTAGCAAGGAAATGAAAGTTATATTTATATTGCAAATAAAAAAAAATGTCACCATTGATGACAGCTAATGTATGCTTTGTTGCGATAAATATAATAAATTTATCCTGAATTCTCGTTGGACATTTGGACTTTCAAGCCTATCAAAATATATATCAAAACTTAATTGTCAAACGTCTGTCGGTGACAGCCCCCTCGAGAGATGTTTGAGGCGAAAAAGTAAGAAAAGGATCAACAACTACAATGTTTATTTTTCTCCAAGATGAGTTCTGATTCGCTTCAGTACAGACGTTACCTTTAAACCAACACGACATTTATTTTCTTTTTTTGCTCTGTTTTCGTTGCTTGCTTTTTTATCGAGAGGAGGTTGAATTATATTTTCTGTATCCGCTATTCGCATTAGAACTGTGAATATATATACTTTTTTGATTTTCTAACTAAAAACTTTATTCTTTTATTTATCGGTTGATGTCTTTAAATAAAAAAGAAAATCGTAAACACATTTAAGAGAATATTATCTAACACAATTTGTAAAATGTTTACAAACAAAAAAAATTATTTAATGTGACACGAATATATAACAATAGAGCGTCGTTTATCCGAACGTCAATTATCCGGAGCGTCAAATATCCGGACCAGTTTTTTTTGGGGTCAACTTTTGTCAATTTAGAAGGCGCAAAAGACTACAATGCTGACCACAGGGATGAGATTACCGACTTTGTCTAATCGATCCCAGGATTTCAAGAACGCAATGAAGATATAAAGACCTGGATGGCAATCGATGCAGAAGACTCAGTGGATTTCAAACGCTAAATGATGATGATATTGTGACTTCCGTGCAAGCAGAATCCGACCCTCTCGACGATGAAACGGATGGAGACGAGGACAACAACAACGAAAGTAGCAAGGGTCCATCAAATGCTGGCACGTTTTCTGCGTTAGACACAGTCATGGCGTTGTACGAACAACAATCAGAGTGCTGTCCTGTTGAACTACTGCTTCTCAAGAGAATCAGAGACCTTTCAGCCAAAAAACGAAGGAGTACAATGGTACCGCGTAAAATAAGAGATTAATTTCCACAATAAAGTAAAATTGTGACATTTTGCACCAATTTTTTTTTTCTTTTCCTTCCAGCACGTTTCCCGCATGTGATGATTTTCAATATTCGCATTGTGTCCGGTTTCATATACTACAAGGATCACATTCGGTGTTCGGTTTGACGAACAATCTCGTATCCGAACGGAATCCGGTCCCGATTGATTCGGATAAACGACGTTCTACTGTATATATATATAAGTATTCTTCCAATTCCTACTATTAGTTTACACTCTTATATATATATATATATATATATATATATATATATATATATATATATATATATATATATATATATATATATATATATATATATATATATAGTCTTGTTCAAATTTTCAATCGTTAATAAAATACTTTTTATTCATCCACTCAAGTTCAAATACATTTTTTAAACTTGTAAAGGTTGACACTTGATGTTAATTCAGTTTTTTTTAAATATTAATTCATTATTTTTTAATTAATGAAAAAATAGTAAAAACTAAAATAATAGTCTAACACGATATGTATAAAAAGGAAAATCGCTCTCTATGTTTCTGTAGCGCAATTGATAGCGCGGTGGACTTCTAATCCACAGATCGTGGGTTCGAATCCGACCTGGGATGGCCTAATTCATGAGAATCTGATTTCTTATACTATACTATTTTATTGGAATTCTTAAATTTAATTAATGAATAAATAGAAACAAACATATACAGAGTGTTTTTTTCCTGGTATAGAAGTTTAAGTTGGCATTACTTTCCAAGATGGTGACCGATTTAACAGCTGTCAAGTGATTTATTCTCAGTTTGGTTTGGCAATTCATCAAGAATAGACTCACGCCTGAACAACACTTTCAAATTGTGCAATTTTATTTCGAAAATAATGGTCGATTTTCATAAGCGAATTTTGTTTAGCGATGAAGCGCACTTCTGGTTGAATGGCTACGTCAACAAACACAACTGCCGCATTTGGAGTGAAGCTAATCCACAAGTGTATGTCAAAAACACCGTTACATCCAGAAAAACTGACTGTTTGGTGCGCTTTATGGGCTGGTGGAATCCTTCTTCAAAAACGACGAAGGTCACAACGTTACAGTCAATGGCGATCGGTATAGAGCCATGATTACTAACTTTTTCATTCCTGAATTGAACAATCATGATGTCCAGGAGATGTGGTTCCAACAAGACGGCGCAATATGTCACACAGCTCGTGCCACAATCGATTTATTGAAAGACACGTTTGGTGACCGCCTAATTTCACGTTTTGGACCTGTGAATTGGCCAACAAGATCTTGTGATTTAACACCGCTAGACTATTTTCTGTGGGGCTATGTAAAGTCATTGGTCTATGCGGATAAGCCACAAACGCTTGACCATTTAGAAGACAACATTCGCCGTGTTATTGCTGATATACGGCCCCAAATGTTGGAAAAAGTCATCGAAAATTGGACGTCCAGATTGGACTACATCCGAGCCAGCCGTGGCAGTCCTATGCCAGAAATCATATTTAAAATGTAATGCCACAAGATTATCTTTCGAATAAAAAAAAATCATGTCAATCGAATAATACATCGTTGTTTTATTGCAATTTAAATTTATATACCTCTAAAAAAAACAACCTTTATAATAGTAATCCAACACCATACATAGAGAGGACAATGGAAAATTGCAAGAAAAATCACTTTCTATTTTGCCAATTAATATTGTGATTCTGTCATATCAAAACACATATTTATATCAATTGTCACGGAGAGTAAAGAATTATAGATACAGTCACGTTGGCTTCCTTTTTAGCGACTTGGGTCAAAACTTAAAAAGATTTTTTTCGCACGTTTTATAGCATTCAGTTGAACTGAAATTTTATAAACACGATTGTTTTGGATGTCAATACGATACTTTAGTGGTAATTAAAAAAATTATTGCCACTAGTTATTGTGATTGTGTCATGTATATTAAGTGCAATTATTTGATTAAAAGTAACTAAAATAATTTTTTTTGTTGACTTGATTAGGAATTGATTTAAAATTTATTTTATATTTCTTGTTTCTTTTACCTTTCTTTCCCCTTAACAATCAATATCTATTTGTATATATACTTTTAGTTTTTATAACATATGTGCTTTCATATTAAATCCATATAAATATGATATAAAAACTGAAATGCATTCAATATCAATGATTAACAGTGATTAGAGTAAAAATTTATATTACCATGTACGTTGATATCCGAGACGCTACCTTGAAAAAAAAGACTGCAAATGTCAAGTTATTTACTCCGGAAAAATTCATTTGATAATTAATACATTTGTAAAACACCAGAGGGGAGGAATGTTTTTGGCTGGCCTTTCTTTGATTACTCTTTGTTAAACTATACAACCGAATAATTTAATTCGTTTTTCTATTTAGCCTCCTTAAAAAAATCTGAATACAATATCCGAAAGTGTACATTTCTCTTTATGAAATTATTTGATTACGCTTACTCTAATTTCAAATTTATTTAATCCGATTAATATTAATCAACAACTTAAAACCTAATTCATGAAATACCAATGACAAAATAGTAACAGTTTATGGATCGCCAAACCACTCCAAGTAAACATCTAAATAGAAAAGTATAATTTACAGAAGGTTTTTTTTATGGATGAAAATTTTTAACAATAACTTAATATTATTTAGATCACTAATGAATTTATTTATAAAAAAACTAAGTGATTTTTCCGCAAAATATAACTATGGAATTCATTTAAAATCTGTTCAATTTTCTCTAATCGGCATTTGCGAAAAAATATTAAATAAAATATTTATTACAGGATGAATCATTTACTTCAGATTAAAATAATATCATTATTATTAATCCAGCGAAAACCAATAGATAGATCGATATCAATTTTAAAATAAATAACGTCTCAGACATCTGGCACTTGAAGTAATAAATGATATATCAGATCAAGCCTTAATTATATTTACACAGATGGTAGCCGCTTGGATACGGGTAGAGCAGGGAGTAGTATATTTAGTAACACTCCTAGGAATAACGCTAAAATCAAAATCAGAAATTCTGACCACTGCTCCGTGTTTAGACCGGAATTCATTGCTATTAGTGGTGCTCTTGATCATGTTCTCAACTCTAATAAGGCCAGTATCTGGATCCTGACTGACAGCAGAAGTTCCATCCAATATTTGAACTGGCCAAAAATTATGGACAGAACTGGTCTAGATAGTATATCCAAATTAGTTAGACTTGGTCAGAGGAAACAAGTATGTCTCCAGTGGATACCGTCGCATGTGGGTGTGCCTGGGAACGAGGTAACCGATGAGCTGGCTGGTATAGAAGTTGTGATCTCTCTAACCCTTCCTCTGTCAAGACATTCGGAAATGCATCCCTCAACAGAGCTCAAATAAATTTGACTTGAAGAAACCTCCTGCTCTCCACTGGTACGCTGCTAAGAGTCCTGGCCTATCTTTACAGTGCAGGAGTTCCAAGGTTCATCAGATGGCCTTAGCGTGCTTTAGAACCGGTCACCTGCGTAATATGACCTTTGTACAGAGGGAAAAGTCTTTCTTTACATGTCCCTGCTCTCTCCCTGCTTCTCCTGCTTATCTTCTGGACTGCTGGAGCATTTTCCTGGGACAGTTGCTTAGAGATCAATACCTGGTGTGTGAGATTATTATGAGGAATGGTCAAATAGACATGGTGTAGGCTTTCCCGCACAAAGGTGATTTGAAATAAGAAGAAAAAAATTAAAGCAAATCTATCATAAATCAAAGAAACTATTTTTAAACACTTTATTCTGGGATGGGGCTTTATCGCGACTTTCACTAATTGTCCTCTTGGGATTCTTTGGGACCAGAATGGCAAATTTTTCCAACCAACTCAAGAAGATAACGTGTTTATGTAAATTAGGAATCATATATATATATTGGAAGGTTAGCATTCTCGAGGATCGCTAAGTGGAGAAGTAATGCTACAAGTGATCGCAAGTGAAGTGAGATAAAGTCTAGAAGAGGAGACTTCATTCTGAGTGTTGGCTTAACACTCCCGGTGTAGATAAATCAAACGTGGATCCGAGACCAGTGGAGCATTGCCTAAGCCAGAGCCACCTAGATTAAAGGTGGAATTGACGTTTTACGGACCGTAGCTGATTACCCAGGAAATAGCGGTAAGATAGTTCACCTAAACTATAAGGATAGTGCGGATACTATTGAATTAGGAGTTAATATAGATTCAGTTGTTAATATGTGTCAGTAATACGTGTTGCATCTACTCAATCTGGATCCACATCCTCTTAGAGTAGTATTGTTATTGTATTATGTATAAATTAAGATCAGAATGAACTGATTTTAGGATGACAAAATTTAGTGGTTCTTATTTCCTTCTCGTAGACATAGGTCGGGTAAATAGCAGAGAAAGGGTAGGAGTACCACAATTACGGTACCACAACCCTACGGTAGGGGTACCACAACCCTACGGTAGGAGTACCACAATTTTACCGCTAAAATTACAGAAATTCGTATGTATCTATATATCAATTAGAAACAAGTAATATAAATATGTATATACATATGACTGAATCACAATATCAAATGCCAAAATAAAAAGCGATTTTCCTTGCAATTTTATATTTTCTTTTCTGTAAATGGTGTTCGACTATTATTTTTATTTGTTACCATTTAATAATTAATTTAATTATTCAAATAAAATAGTATAGTAAAATGAAATCACATTCTCAGAAATTAGACCATCCTACGTGGGATTCAAACACAAGACCTTTGGATTAGTAGTCCAACACATTATCATATACGCTACAGAAACACACCGAGGGATTTTCCTTTTTATAAATGGTGCTGGACTATTATTTTTGTTTGTTACTTTTTATTCATAAATTATTCTAATATTAATGAATTAAAATCTGGAAAAGCTATATTAACATCAAGCGTCATCCACTACAAGTTTAAAAAAATGTATTTGAACTTGAGTGGATGAATAAAAATTATTTTATTAACGACTGAAAATTTGAACAAGATATATATGCAAACAAATATATACATGGAGAGTATGAACTATAATAGTAGGAATTAAAATGATTATAAGTGAAACTGAGTTCTGAAATAATCCCTGATTCGAAGAGACAAAGAAATGTGCTCTAGACGAAGACATCTCAAGAAATAGATATAAAACGAAAGTGACGGAAAACCAGTAAAAGACAGTAACATTACCCCTTAGGTGCAGCATTATTCCTATTTGCCAAAGACAGTCAACACCACTGAGACGGAAAAATGGCTTCGATGCTTCGGGTAGTCTTTAATGTTGTCTGGTCTAAGTTTTTTTTTTTTTGGTACAATATTTGCAACCACAAATATATTTCAGGGAACAAAGTCACATTTTGTACTTTTTTCTGGACTTAAAGCCTCTTCTTATCAAGCTTCAAAGATATAATCCATTGTTCTCTACGAAAACATTTTTTGTTCCATTTCAAACTGTTATTGGATTGAGAAGCAACTTATTCTAAATGATCACCACTGTAATTCTTACGAATTTTATCTTTTGGGGGAAACTATTATTATTTCATTTCTTTAAGCCATGTTCTAATTGCGTTTGAAATAAAACTGAACACTTTACTTAAC